CTCAGACCAATCTCAGACCAAACACAGACTGGAAACAGACCGAACACAGGCCGAACTCAGACCGGACACAGACCAATCTCAGACCGAACACAGACTGATCTCAGACCAAACACAGACTGAACTCAGACCGATCTCAGACCTAACACAGACCGATCTCAGACCGAACACAGGCCGATCTCAGACTGAACGCAGACCCAACACAGACTGAACAGAGACTGAACAGAGACCGATCTCAGACCAAACACAGACCGGACACAGACGGAACTCAGACCGAACACAGACTGATCTCAGACCGAACTCAGACCGGACACAGACCGAACACAGACCAAACACAGACCGAACTCAGACCGAACAGAAACCGATCTCAGACCGAACACAGACCGGACACAGACCGAACACAGACCGATCTCAGACCGAACACAGACCAAACACAGACCGAACACAGACCGAACACAGACCGATCTCAGACCGAACACAGACCGATCTCAGACCGAACACAGACCAAACACGGACCGATCTCAGACCGAACACAGACCGATCTCACACCGAACACAGACCGATCTCAGACTGAACACAGACCGATCTCAGACCGAACACAGACTGATCTCAGACCGAACACTGACCGATCTCAGACCGATGTCAGACCGAACACAGACCGAGCACAGACCGATCTCAGACCAATCTCAGACCGAACACAGACCGAACACAGACTGAACACAGACCGATCTCAGACCAATCTCAGACCGAACACAGACCGATCTCAGACTGAGGGAACTTTGAGTTCATTATCAAAAATATGAGAAGTGACGTATTATTGGACTGTTTCCACAGCTGACATTAAATACAAAGTGCCTCGTTTGTCTGTCAGTATCTGTTTATTTACTATCTGTCCATCAGACCTTTAAATTAACTCTGACTGAATGATGAGCATTAAAGCGACTTGGCGTTTCAGGCTTGATGAGCTAATCTGGCAGGGTTCAGTGTGGGGGGAGACCGCTGACCTGAGGTCTGTGTTTTCAGCTGATTACATGTTGGTGTAGTAAAACAGTCAGATAGATCAGGATTCAGAGCTGTGATCAAACTGTGTGTCAGAGTCGCAGCAGATCAACAGATTGAAAGCATGTGCCTCTGCTGTCCCATGTTCATATAATCCATCCAGAAAATCTAATTCTGCTCTTACTTTAATCTGATTATAATCTGATCCAAACTAACGCTCCTGCAGTGAAAGGAACTCCTGTCTGACTGAAACTGAAAAACCAGCACAGTCCAAATAACGAGCTGCATGACTTTAGACCAGGTGCTCCTCAACAGGAAACACAAACTGGTTATGTAAGAGATGAGCTGAGGACACCAAACTGAAACTGAATTACGTTTTAATGTCCCAGTTTGTCTAAGATCCTGTGATCTGACTCAGAGCCAGCAGATGAGATGTCGCAGGATCGTTTACGGACAGTCGCAGCAGTTTAAAGCCTCAGTCTGAAGGACGAGCCACACCCAAATCCAAACAACTGCAGCTGCACCCAAAACATGAATCAGCATCATGATCCACAGCATTAACTGTTTTTTATATCTGCAGAATATCCTCACTGAAGTCACATTAAAACATCAGGCAGCAGCTTTATGTCACAATATTCACACATCTGATCTGTGATAATCAAACAACAGGTCGACTGTGTGGCCTGAACCTGACTGCTCTGGTCAGCACTCACAGTTTGTTATCAGACCTCTGCAGCGCCCACATGACAAATATTTGAGAAAGGAGTTTGTGCATGTTGGGTGCCAGCGGTTGGTGCAGGAATACTGGACATCCGCCCAAATAACGCCAGAGATACATCATCAGTCTGTCAGTCTGTCTGAGCAGGGCCTGAATCCTGCACAAAGATCCCTGCACACATCCACACTGTGATCCACTGCTACAGCTGCAGACGAGCTGAAAACACCTGAAAACATGACACGTGACACCTGACAGATGAGTCTACTCTTGTAGCTGTAATCACAGTATCAAAACAGGTTGTTTAAAAAAATAAAACATCCTCAGAAACTCGTGAAGAACTTCTTATGAGATGTTTATTCAGTATCTCCACACCTTTTCTTTCCTCCTCAATATTTCAATGTCAAACTACTTCGTGTTTCTTGGCGTTTCTCCTCTAATCCGTGTGTCACGGCTGATAAACGTCCTAACGCTCCGTCTCCTGTTTGCAGCTCAAGAATCATGTTTAACACATCTGTCAGTTTTGGGGACTGAAGTTTAAAGTCAACATGTCTTCAGTCGGCTGAGGTGGACGAAGGACTCAAATATTTTACTGAATTAAAAGTAGCTATTAAACAACACAGTAATACTTTGTCACAAGTTCTGCACTCAAAATTTGATCTCTTGATTTTAAACAGCATCACCGCAGCAAATAACCAAACTAAAACCTGTCGTTATAAATAAACTAGAGGAAACAAAACTTTTAGCTTCTGAAATAATCTGAAGTTACGCTGCTCCTCAAGTGCAAATGTGCACAGTGTCTCCCTACAGCTCTGTATTGGTCTCTGCTACGTTCACATCTTACACAGCATCACTGCTGCAAATAACAGAACTATAAAACTGAAACATGTACAGTATCTCTCTGCAGCTCTGCTCTGGTCTCTGCTACGTTCACATTTTACCGAATGTCATAAATATTTTCCTCTTTAATGACGGATTATTTAATCCACCTGTAATCAGATCAGAGTGTGTGTGTTATGACCCAGTCTGTGTTCGATCATCTCAGTGTCTGAATAATGAGCTCTTTAAACAGCAGGAAAATAGTGAAGCAGTTGGACTTCAGACTTCAGAACAGGTTTCTGGTCTGTGGATCAGTCACTTTCTGTTGCTTCAACATAACAACACGCCAGCAATGACCACACCTCATTTTAACACCTACACACCCACAGGTGCACAGATGAACTCAAATACATTTATGATTCACACAATGAGGGCGCTGGCTGTGAAAATAACGACGGTGTCAGTCTCAAACTAACAGTGATGGTTGTGCTGCGTTGTGGCGAGTGTAAGTTCGGACCCTACGAGTTGACTGCCACGCTTTAGATTCTGTGAGTCTGTACTGTGCTTTAAAGCTAAATGCTAACCTCAGCTGCTAGCAATAATGATGAAGATGGTGATTAGGGGGTTTTAGTGTGTTTTGTGGATGTGTTCGTTATCTTTGATTATTTTTGTGAATTCATCACAGGTGTTTATAATATATAAATCAAAAACTGAGTTTTTTTTGTTTTTGTTGTTTTTTATAAAGTAAACTGCGAGTAACTGAGGAGTTTTTCAGCCGTTCTTCTCCTTCAGTAATAATTCAAAAACATTTCAGGGGGCTTGATATTTATTAATGACAGATTCATGTAAATGTAAATATGTTGTGCAAAGTCTGTGAAACCAAAGTCAACACCAGGACTTAATCCAGTTTGGGAGTGACACAAGTTCAGACATGGTATGACCGCAGCCTAAAAGTGTCCCGCCTCCTTCGTCCATGTGAGACTGAACAAATCACGTCAGTCAGTCAGACGAACTGCACAACTGTTTTTACTCCTCGCTTTATTTCAGACGTCAAACACAGCAGCAGCAGCAGCAGGGAGGTGAGTTCTCTGACACAGAAATCATTTCTGTCTGGTCTGATGGAGAAGGATGATGATGATGATGATGATGATGATGGTAATAATGATGATGGTGATGATGGTGCCAGCAGCTCTACAGACCTGATTATTATATTTTGTAACACATCTGGATCGTGGTGTGTTCAGAGTGCTCTGTCAGTTTCTGATCCTGGTGATCTTTATGTGTCTGCAGTGACGGCACAGGTTGTGTCTCAGGTTTTTAATGTCAGTATCAGAGCGGGTTGGGTTAGGGTTAGGCCTTGAAGCAGCGCCACCTTCTGATGCAGCAGGAAGCTTTCAGAGTCTGTTAATGCACCGACACATGATGTACATTAGGACAGAGGGTGGGGTCAGCTGAGAAACTCTGCTGCTGCTACAGGATGTATGTTACTGTCTGTTTGTTACATCAGCTCATTAAAATTTAACTCATTTATTTTAGATGAATGTTTAACCACAAAACGTTTCACATCAGAAAAAAGTTTGTTTTCAGATAAATTCACAGAAAGTTAAACAGCATCAAAACCTCCATCAAAACCTTTCAAAATACTTGAGGAGAAAAATGCTGATTAGATCCAAACATCACAGACCTCTGTGTAGAAAGTTTCTTTTTTTCAGACAATGAGTTTTTAAGGAGATGTAGTTTACCTTGACATGTTTCGACTGTCACTTCAGTCTTCTTCAGAAGCGTCATCTGACATGTGTCATGACGTGTCTATCAGCTGGTAGTATCCCGGAGGCGTGACCAGCCTGGCAATCCGATTTGCTGATAAAGACACGTCATAGACAACTAACCATTGGCTGATTGATGAATTTATTGGCCAATGAGGAGCTGAAACCTCAGAGAACATGGAGGACAGACACAAACACATCATGATTTATACAACCTTAATAATCTGAGAAACATCTGATCCACTAAGAACTGCAGTTCATCTCTGAGCAGGAAACCTGATTACATGAAAGTCACATTAAAAAGTCCTGAATGAAGTTTAAATGGGATTTTAATCAGATAGAGGTCAGAGATCAGATCATAGCAATAATCTGACTAACCACATTCGTTTGGAGGCAGACCTGCAGTCTTATCTGTGGATCAATACAGCGGATCACTTAGCAGATGAAGGAGGCAGCGGCTCCCCGAAGGATATACTGCCGGGAAGAACTGGAAATAGTCTCATCATCGGCTCCAGTATCTCTGAGCCTCACAACAACAGTCAGGACTCAGGTCTCAGCTTACTGCTGAAAAACATTTGAGCTTCACCAACGTTTCTGTGCACTGACGTTTTCTGCATCCTTTCATTTATACAACCAAACGTGAGATGAATCTGTGAGCAGACGTCGTGTCAGATTTTAATGTGTGTCTGTTTTCTTGTGAACAGGAGCTGGTCGGAGGCTGAGAGCACCAGAGCCCGGCACAGAGGACGATTCAGTGAGTGACTCATGTTTTAGTACTCGTCTTTCTGGTTCAGTTCTTCATCAGACACCAAAAGTTTCTGTTTTAGCTTCAGTTAGCTTAGCCTCAGCTGTCTTTGGCCCTGATCCAGCTCATACCGACCCACATGTGTCTGACACATTAAAATAAATCAGCTGTGGCCTCCTGAACGTGGCACACCTTCCTCTGATGCTGGATCAAAGGTCCTGCTTCAAAACTGTTCAGCTGATAGCTTAAATTACTGATATGATGTGAAGAATGGTTGAACTGCTCTGTGAACAGACTCCATGTTTGTTCCTGATCAACATCAGGTGATGATAACGAGATAAAGACCTGTGAAACAATTCAGAAAAATAGAGGACTAAAGTTACATTAACTTTGCATGCTAGCATTCTGAGGTTTACATGTTAGCATGCTATGTTAGCATTAAAGGTTCTGTGTCTGACATTCACAGCATTAATAAAACAGCAGGTCTCTACAGTCTGAGTGTGAAGGTCAGTTCAGACCAAAGATTCATGACAAGATGAGCTGGAACAAACAACTACTGTCAAACCTGGCGGTGCACAGGAAGTGACCACCATGAGACAGAGTAACATCTCTAGTCAACAACTCTCTGTGCTTCTGATCTGTAACGTCGACAGGAAGTGACC